AATTGGTGAAGGTTTTGGATTGAAATCCTTATGCCTTAGGTCAACATGTAAATTATAAGTCTTGGAGTGTATCATGAGCACCTAAATGAAGACCTTATGTAATGGACCAGTCGAGGAAGGCCAGACCTATGAATGGTCGGAGCAGTTATGACCTTAGGAAGCAGTTTGCGCGACTGCATGGCATGGACTCGCCGAGTCAGATGAGCAGACTCGGCGAGTAGCTTGAAGAATAACTGGGACTCGTCGAGTTGTTCATCAGACTCGGCGAGTGGAGTCGGGGTGGCCCCGCGATTCTTCCAGGAGTAACTCGTCGGGTCAAGGAGGATACTCGACGAGTAGAAGGGAAACTTAGAGGATTGGAGGACGACTAGACTCGCCGAGTCGCCAGAGTACTCGCCGAGTCCGGTCGAGTTGACCGTGGACCGTTGACCAGAGTTGACCTATGTGTAATTTCTTAGGGTCAGTTGTCTTGAAAGATAAAAGTATTAATAAGAGAATACATTACCCAGGGAGCTTGAAGCTCGGCGGATCAAGTGCAAGTGATTTCAGGAGTTGCTAATTTCCAGTATCCACGAGGTGAGTCTTCTCACTATACTATACCCGGAAGGGTTTGACTGTGTGACCGGAAGGTCGAATACGATGTATGTTATATATGCTATAAATAGAAAGGTGGTTGCTATGCATGATATGTATGTTTATACGGGCCGGAAGGCGATATGTTATGTGACAGAAAGGTCAGGTATGATATATGATGTATGTGCTATGTGCGTTAGATTAAATGTATTATGTGTTGTAAATGTTATAGGCCGGAAGGCAATATGTTACGGGCCGGAAGGCAATATGTTATGGGCCGGAAAACAATATGTTACGGGCCGGAAGGCAATATGTTATGGGCCGGAAGGCAATGTGCTATGGGCCGGAAGGTAATACGTTATGGGCCGGAAGGCGATTATCTCATGGGCCGGAAGGCATTGTGCAGTGGACCGGAAGGTCAGGGCCTGGAAAGGCGTATATGTGTAAGGTGTATATTGGGGAACTCACTAAGCTTCGTGCTTACAGTGTTTTATGTTATGTGGGTTTCAGGTTCTTTCAGTAACGCGGGACGGCACCGGCTCGATTGTACACACCAAAGAAAGAGTTGTATTTTAGAGGATCCTGGTTTTCTATTCAAGTGAAAATGGAACTATGTTTTGTAATTCAAATATGAATATGATTTTAAACAAGTATTTTAATGTTAAATTGATTATTTAAATGAAAATTTTGCCTTGAAAACCACGGTGTTACAGCTGAATACCCCACACCTAGCTGGTAGCTACAGCCGAACCGAAATGGTTCAAGGGTGATGAAAGTCATAAGGTGATGTGGACTACTTATTTCCGTATTTAGTCTTATTGTATGGTTATGGGACTCGCAATTAGGATAACAGAGATTTAATTAATAGTAATAATGATTAAAGTAATTAATTTACTTTGTAAATATTAGTTTTATATACGTGTTAAAACTAATATATTTCACAAGATAACCAGGTTTTCTTTATACATCTTCACATTGGTAACCAACATTCAGGAAAATATGGGATTTTTCTGGGGAACATTGTACATAACCAGAAAAGTGTAACAAACCAGATAACTTTACATTCACAAGAGTAAACATGCTTTCAGTGTACAACCTTACATTACATTTTGGGAATTCAATAACCAACCTTTTTAAGAAAATATGGGATTTTCTTGGTGTGTGTAACATTTTCAGTAACAGACAGGAAACTCGTATTTTTTTCACAAAACATAACCGCTTATGAACTCACCAGTGTTATGCTGATTTTTAAAACCTCTTGTATTCTCGGGTCAACGTTAGACAGGTACCCGAAGACCCTTTTGTTCGAAGACGGAGCACTCAGAAGATCCGTTTCATTTTGTCCATATATACTGTGTATCACAACGGTATAACCTTACTTTTGAAACAAATGTAAACTTTTCTATATGTAATGTAATGGTTGTTTTACTTTACTTACTATGTGCACTGGATTTGATACACAATGTGGAGTCAACCCCGGAAATGTGTCCGCCTTCGGTTTTCGGGGTGTGACACTATATCACACACAGTATATATAGAACTCACGAGTATAACTCAAGGTCTACATTGTTGTAATAACATGCTAACAAGTTTACGATAGTTGTATGTTTTAAAAATATCATATATACATTAAGTATATATGAGGCAAAACAACTATATCACAGTTAATATAACTATATATGTTGATACAAACATACTATCATGTAAAAATAATATTAACTTTTATTCAATATTTAGCATGCATTTTCCCCCAAAAATATTAGAAAGTGGGGCCGTGAAACTCACCTTAGTAGCATGATTTTATGTAATCTAAGTAGAAACGGTTAGCGGTACGAGGTCGTCAGGGCTCGGGAAGCGAAACGGCTTCAGCAAACGAGAGAGAGAGAGAGAGAGAGAGAGAGAGAGAGAGAGAGTAGAAATTGTGTACTAAGCCTCGGGGTCAAAATAGCTATTGATAGTAAGATTTTATGACACTCACGTCGTGAGTGTCATAAGGCTCACATCGTGAGTCTGCCTGATTCACTTCGTAGACTTTCCATTTGCGTCCCTAGCTTCAGAAGGTAGCCATGACTCCTCACGTCGTGAATTTGGATCCTATCCACTCGCAACTTCTAGATTCCAAATTATGACAGAATGACTCCTCACGTCGTGAATTAGCTAGTTTAGGGCTTTTAAAAGCCAAATCTTTGGAAGGTCATAACTTTTGCATACGAACTCCGTTTTTGATGTTCTTTATATGTACGCGTAGGTATTTACAAGTAATAAAACTCTCTTCTAGACTTAAATAGCTAATTCTAAGTCTATTTTAAATTTCTATTATTATAGAGATTTATAATGTTCGGTTATCATAACTTCTTCATTCGAAGTCAGATTCAGACGTTCTCTATATTTTTTGAAATCGTATGAACGTATAAATTGAGTTGTATCATAAAGAAAGCTCATATTCTTATTAGATTTTATCATGAACTACATAACATTGTTACCACATTACATAATCACATTAGATGATTGGCATAATCACATGTGATTGTTATTGACCTATTTTGGCTAGTGTTACATGATTTCTATCTGGGTATCATTTCTAATTCTCTGTTACTTAATAAAATTTTCCAAAGCCTACATGTCACAGACTACACTGGTCAAACAAGTAATTTTATTTACAATTTCTCACACTTTTGTTAAGTTGTGGTTTGTAACAAAATCTGAGCCGAACCACGAAGCTTTGTAAAACGATTCCCTTCTATACTCCTTTGTGAGTATTCGACTGTAATTCACGACAAACCACACAAGCTATTCGACACTCTCTTGATGTAGAACAAAGCGATCTTTCTCTAGGATCATACTGCTTTATGTAGATTTTTATTGACAGCACAAATCTAAATGTTTTTTATCTTGATCACATCATTTTCTTTGGCACACATTGTTACACACTGAAATCCTTGAGGTTTTGAGTAATACCAACTCAGGCTGATGATTTCGAAAATTCTGGTGTATGACTTCGCTTTACAACCCAAAATTGAAAGAGCCTGACCTCCATGCTGAAGGTTTTTGACAGTTTCAATTCTATTGGTACTAGTAAACAGACTAATGGAAGTGATGTTTTGGTTCCTATGCGGTGTTCAAGGAAAGTGCTCATCACTTTTAAGGCGTGGCTAACTTTACAGCTAAGGTCTGAGATTCCTGGTGCCACGTGGCTCTGTCATTAATGCTCAACCCAATTCAAATTCAAAATTTGGGTTTATGCATAAAAGGGTTTTGGGGGTTTCTTTCCCACTTTATGCATTCTGAACATCCCTAAATTCCTTTGCTATTCAACCATCTATTTTCTTCCAAATTGCTCAAACCCTAATAATGGCGGCCAAGAACACAAATGTTGAAGCTTCTCAGATGACCGATGATATTACTTCATAACTTCTCATGAAGATCCAAAGCACAAATTTCCGAGTCAATCCTGATGTTGATCATTTTCCAAAAAAGTTGCAGATGGTTATTGTTGCCTTGAAAAGTTCTGTCTTATCTACTGTAATGTTCTCTTCTTTTGATATACCCATGTCGTAATTATCCTTTAATGGTTCCACATCAGTTTATAGCAAGGTGGTGAAACTTGTTACTTCTCAAAAGAAAGATGATAAGATGTTCAAACTCACTGAGAAGCTATTCACACAAATCCTGAATCTTCCTACTGTTGATAATCTCTATGAAGTTTCCAATGAATAAGTTCTTGATATGTTCAACGAGATGGGTTACCAAACTGTTCTTACCAAAATCAATGAGTTTAAGAAATCTGGTCTACCCTGTTTGTGGAATTTTCGGTTTGGCATTTACCTTCGCTTCTTAACTGATCGAAGTGTTTGGTTAGATAAAGCCAAATTGGAGATTTATGCCATGGTTGCATCCATCTATTATGATATTCATATTGATTACATCAGTCAATTATGGGAAGATTTTGTGAAAAGTATCAGTAATACTAATGCTGTGAATGGAATTTCATGTGCACATTATTGGAGCTTGATACTTCAATTTGCTTATGACAAGGTAGGAATTCTAGTATCTGAAGATGAACAGACAACAAAAGTTTCTTTATATCACTTTCCAAAGGCAGTTGAAGATAATGAGGACGTGTTTCCCACTGTTGCTCATATTCCGTATAACATGCTTCGCAAGGTTGATCCTTCCAATCCGGTATTGGTGACTTATCTGAAACCATTCAATCCTTCGATTGAAACTGGTATTTGATTACCTAAGAACACTGGTACATCCAATAAAAAAAAGAGGCGAAGAAACAGTCTAAAGAAAGTCCTTCAAAACCGGAGCCAGTGGAGAAGATTGTTATAGTTACTCCAACGAAGGTGGTCAAGTCTGCTAAACCATTGAAGAAAATACACCAGCCTGTTATTTATGAATCTATTTCTCCTACGTTGGAGGCTATGCCTTCGAAATCTGCGATTTTAAAACATTTGAAGAAGATGGCTCACAGGACTCTTCATTCTCCTAAGAAGTCTACTAGTTTTCAGATCACTCGTAAGCCTCAACTGAACTGCAAAGGTGTTGTGATTTGAGAGATTCCAACTCTGATCTCTTCAACATATAAAAACGAAGAGATGAAGATATGGCTAAAAAGATTGTTAAAAATTAAAAGAAAGTCGTAATTGAGACTGAAGATGAAGTTGTACCGGAATCACCTCTCCATAACCATGATACAATTGTTTCATCACCATAGACAGGTTCTCCAATCAATCAAGGTGATTCATCGGGAGCATCTAGACCTGAGAAGACTACTGTCATACCACCCAGAGTGTCGAATACCGAATCTGTTACTAAAGAGGTTCGCAATTCAAAAATCCGTGTGAACATATCTTATATGGACACAAATGTCAGCATGGGTGAACCAGTGCTCAACAACGAAGCTAAATGTAATCTTATGATTGTTATTTCTTCTACTTTCGACACATCTAACATACCATCCAGTCTTTCTTTACCACCATTTGCCTTAACTAATTCTACCACTTTACCACCTGCTACTCATTCTTCAACCTTTAATCCAATCTTTCAACAACCTATTACTTCTCTTTTTTCCATCCCAATCCAATGATCCTAAAACAGTTAATGATGATGCCACCACTGATGATGGTGAGTTCACATGTACATTTGTTGATCGTGAGTTAGATCCAGAGGAAGAAAACATACCAAATCAAATGTTAATGTCTAGTAAACTGCTCAAAAATTCTTAACAAAAAGTTAAACTCGTTATTAAAACTTCAGGCGGATGTAGGGGATCATCATTCAGTCTCGGGGATAAAATTTGATGTCATGCTCAAAGCTTAAGAGCATCGTTTGAGGGATGAGTTGGAATGTATCGATAGACATAACGAGACTCAGGTTAAGGCTCAATCATCTTCTTTTAATCTAGAACTACAAGACTTGAGAGTTGTGGGGAAAGAAAAACATCTTTTATATGTTCAAGAAGTTAACAAGGTACGAGAGGATGTAAATCTAAAACTGGAGGAGTCGAGGTTATATATGGCGAAGGTAGTTGTTGCTATATCTCATGATTTTTCTACTCTTCACACAAAAGTAGATATCATCACAGCTGCAGTTACTAATGTTGTCAAATAGTATCAATCTTTAACTCCGAAGGTTCATAAAATAGCGGAGATTGATACAGAAAGTTTTTCTAAGGTTGAAGATTTGTTGCTTAGCCTTAAGGATTTAGTATCGAAGAGCGGTTCATCATCTTCATTTCTTACTTTTGATTCTTTATCTCAACAGTTTCATGCTTTGGAGTCCACCCTCAAAGCTAGATTGGCTCTATTCGCATGTTTATTGAATTTCATGCCAACGACTACCCCACCTATTCAAACAGGGGTGCAAGGGGGAGAGGGTATTGGTGTTGGCATTGGGGGAAGTTCGAAGGCTACAATGGGGGCATTGGATCTTTGAAAGGAGATATATTTGCTAAGGTAGTTGGAAAGGTGATAACTACTCAACTTCACACCTCATTACCAAAGATTTCAATGATTACAACATCAATAACAACAACAACAAAACTTATTACCAAATGTGTTATGATTGGCTCTACTATGGGAGGGTCAAGTTCTTTGAAACCACCTCATTCCATTGAAGAACTACATAACAAAGGGAAGGGAAATTGCACTAAGCCTACTACAGAAGAAAAGAAAGCAGCAATTGAAAAGGAGATGGATAAACATCGTCAAATCCAAAGTATCCTTCGACAAAGGGCAAATGATCCTCCTGGTCTTAACAAAGTTGATCCTACAAAGCACTATACTTATGAACACATCGAAGCCTTGGTTGTGACAGGAGAGATGCATGATTTTGAGAACGTACCCAAGAAGAGCTATAATACAGAGAACACTGATTTCAATCAGTTGTACATCCCTATCAATCACATGATTTTTGTGGATGAGCAGTTTGAGGTTACAGAGAAATACAAAGATAAATTTGAATTCCAATGCAGGAAGTTTTGTTTTCATGCAGTATTGGGAAAAAGGGAGGAGGAAGTTTGGTCTCTTATCAAGATAGTTCATGTTCTCAGCATATCTAAGGATGTTTTATTCGAGGGTATGTTGCAGAATTATCGATACCACGTTGTTTGAGCAAATAATGTTGCATTTGATTTCACAGTTGCAGACTTCCCTATCATGAACCTTCATGATCTGTTGAGTATTGCAAAGATTTTGAAGAATGTTGATGTCTCGAAGCTTCAAGTGACAAATAAACAAGACTTCTTAATTGGATTCGCACACTAGAAGGTATTCATTGATGGTTATTATGGTTCATTAGCTCTGACAGATGTTGAATTGGCTTAAGCATTAGGAAAATAGATCTCTGTTTTACAATCTATGTTGAAAAACCAGACAAGCTTGAAGAATTTTGAAGATGGTGAGATCTGCATGAAACCACTTGGAATAGTGTCTGTTGGAAAAAATAAGAAGGGTAACAACACAAAATGTTTGTTCCAAGTGTGTGATGTTGAGAGGTATGCATCTTCACATTATACAAATCTAATGATTAGAACAATTAGTTATGCTAAAAATAATGAAAATGAAAAGGCTGAAATTCAAAAAGTGGTAAATTGGTATGCTGAGATTCGAAGGGTTATTCACCAAGCTACATTGATGTTGACGTCTTAGATTTGACATTTCTCACAAAGGGGGAGAATGTTGGGATCGAATATTTTTGTGGCATGTCGAATGTGTCTAGGTCGTTCCGAGTGTCGAATGTATGTTTGTAAATTTATTATAAGGTCATATTAGTTTCGAAACTATAGTGTCGAGTCCTTTATATTTTTTGCTTGCTTTCTTTATCCTATAAATATGGATGGATACATGTCTTAGAGGTTAACTTTTGCTCTCTCATAGAAGTCATCTTGTAACCTCTTGTATTCTCTGAAAGCAATATATCGAGCAAATTAGATTATATTTAGATCTAGTGTTCTAAATCTTTTCTTAATTCTAATTTCATATTCATACTCGATTCAATCAACACTTCAAGGGATTGTATGTGGTCATGTAGGATAGCCTGAGAACTCTTGGTCTAGGCTCTCTTGCATGTTCCTTGTTTCATTGTGGCTCTAGAGTAGGATCATCTGTTCAGGTGCCTATATCACATCTGGTTACTTATGGTTACATATTCTAGGGGGGTTACCTGGTAGCGGACTATATGTTGTGGGAGGACTAGTAAGTGGTAGTGAGATCTGTGATTGTTGTTTTCTTGTATTATGTGCCTGCTTGATCCTGGTTGTTTATATGCCGACATGTTGTGTTTGGTTTGGTTTGAGGCGGTCCAGCTTTGTGATGTAGTCCAAGATACCCAGTGCAGGCTGCCTATAAGCCGCAGACATGAAGGCTTGGTAAGAGCGGTAGGTTGAGTTGGTAGGCCAACAAACCTTGGGTATTCCCACCCAATGGTTGATTGGACCCGTTGTATATTTGAATTTCAACCTAGGGTATTCCATCCCAAGAATGACTAGACACGAAGGTTAACTGGGCCTGGGGTATTCTCACCCGATGGTTTATTGGACCCTACATATTTGATCGTATATGTTATGCATTTGTGTGGTGGTATTTTGTGGGAAACTCACTAAGCTTTTCGCTTATCTAGTTGTTTATTGTTTTAGGTATCAATGGTGTCTATGGGAAGACGAAGACAGGACTGTACACACGCATCAAGAGCACTGAGGATTCCGTGTTTTATATAAAACTCTGATTTTAAATAAAAGTAATTTTGAATAAACGGTTTTCTTAATAATTGATTTATAAATTGGAAAGTTTTATCTTAATAAAAATGAAAAATTTTGGTTATGAAAATAGCACGTTACAATTAAAATAGTTTGTAACATCATCCACTCTTATACAACCTAACATATTACGTGATAATATTTTGGTTTTTATGTTTGTAATTCTACATAAAATGCTTTAAAAATATGTTTATTTGTTCACTAATGACATAATCGAGCAGTAAATCAGTAAAATATGGTTTGATGAATTAGTAAATTTAATTATGGTGTTAATGTGTGTATTAATGACATGATCAAGCATCGAGTTTGTAAAACAAGTATTTAATAGCTTAATATTCTATGTATTATGTTTTGATAAACTATTATTTATGTTTCGTTTATGTGCTTAATTATAATTCATGTTTAATTTGTTCACATGTTTCATTTATACCATAAGTTATTCCTAGAATGTTACAAAATTTTGATTTTTGTTGTTAACTGTTTGTAGTTTATATATCATACGTACTTTTCTATGATGATTTTTTTTTTTTATTTATAATGATGTTATTTTTTCATGATGCAATTAAATTGAATGGTAATCTACATTAAGCTAATTGATGAAGTTAAGGAGTTTGCAAAATATTATTGAGCAAATCATCTTAACCAAGTATAGGAAGGGATGCACTCGAATCATGAATGTGCATTTGAAAAAATATTATCAAGTGTTTAATAGTTAATGAGTTTGGAGTCTTTTTTTTTTTTTTTCTTTTTTTTTTTTTTTTTTTTTGAATAGTGGTCATGTGTTCTATATTTTGAAGAATAGCTATGATTGGATGTTTTCTAAGCAATAATTGCATGAATGAGTGTGATGTTTATGTTTTCTTTAGAATTTAAGTAACAATTTATACTAAATTTTACAATTAAGATGTATGATGTTTAAAATCATAGCAATAATAAAATTTAGAATATTAGTCTTATTCTTTTTTTTCAATTACATCATCATTTATAAATGTATATTATAACATTACACTTAGAAATAATTAAAAATAGAATTATAAAATTTAATAAGATATCATTAATATAGAACATAAAATAATACACTAAATCATTAAATATGTACATTTTATACATGTGTGTATAATATTCTAAATGAAATATGGAAGTAGTTGATTATTTTAACAAAAAAAATCAAATTAGAATATATTACCATATATCTCTATATATACAGAATATCTGAAACCCAAACTAAATAACCATTAGTTAAAATGAGTTCATTGCTTGAATGAGAATCTTCAACACCATTATTAATTTGACCTACAAAAAGTATTCCATTAATATTTATTATTATATAACTATTTACAAAATTATATTCTGAACATAACATTTTGAATATGTGAGTATGCATGAGTAATGATTTTAAACTATTCTATTAAGAATAATGTATGATGTACTATGCAATGTGATAACAAGATAATGAAATGAGACCAAGTACCACTTCTGCTTCATGCTAAACTGGTTCATACAAATATTTTGCTTTCTATGGAAAAGGATGATATTGATTAACCTGAACCTTTCATTGAGATAATTAAAATAATAAACAACGAGGAAACATGTTGCAAGCTTCAAACATCAACATTGTCAGAGATTTCCTTACCATGTTGACACCAATCTTTCAAACATACACCATTTAGTGCACTTGTCTTAATATGATGACTTAATATGATGACAAATTATGATGATAATTATGTTGTGTGGTAGTTATCCCTTTGTGTTATAACCCTTGAAAATGGTGAGCTTTAAACATGACATGATTCTTATGTATACAACATCCTTAACAAGTAGAATAAAGATCTGCAAAACCATTCTTTAAACATAATCAATTATAGAAGATTGTCTGATTTCAATCAAAATTTTAAAAGAATCATCCAATGTAAAATACTAGTAGGTACATGGAAAGAAAACAACTTCAATGTATGTGAATCTAATAATTTTTTCTTTATTACAACCCATTCCTACAAATTTTTAATAGTAGTTAATATTGCTAACAAAAGACATCTCTAACCTTTTGTGTTTGAGTAAAACATATTTAACACAAAATTATGGTAAAGATTATATTCTAAAAATATATTTAAGAGAAATCAATCATCTTATTTTTAGTACAAAGTTGCATCATTTTACACTAGTTGTGAACATTGCATCATATTATAAAATGATGGCAAAGTTAATAGAGTAGTCAACATTGCATCATTTTACACCAACTTTGAATTATATTCTTGAAGTATATCTGTATTCTTAAATGATACTTTATTCGTGGGAAGGGGAGAGTGATACATCAGACTCTTTTTTCATCCAAATTTTCATCAAACATGTATATAAGTTTATTATTGTTACCGAAATGTTGATAAAACACTAATGTTAAATGATTTTATGTTCTACACTAAAAAACATTCTTTTAAGAATATTATATTCTAAAAATAAAATAATAAATACAAAAGAGACAATGAAATATGAGTAATGGTTTCGAACTATAGTGTATTATATAATGCAATAACAGAAAAAGTAACACTTTTCTAATGTAAATAATGTATTATGTAATGTACGACAACATATAATATACTATAAAACGTAATAACATATAATATACTATATAATGTATTATGTAACGTACGACAACATATAATATACTATAAAATGTAATAAC